ATAAATTACAGTCACAATACAGTTACGTCATTATACAATATTCCGGCCGCATTGGTAAGTGGCAAAGACACTCGGCTGCTGACCCGCAAATTCCAGGATTGAATCCCGGTTGTGGCGGCTGCATTTTAGATGGAGGCGAGGATGCCGTTGGCCGGAGTGCTCAGAGTTAGGTGCATGCTAAGAACCCCAGGTGGTCGAAATTTCCGGAGCCCTCCACAACGGCGTCTGTTATAATCATATGGTAGTTTAGGGATGTTAGATCCAACATATCAATGAAATAATCAATATATCATGTCTAATCAAAAGCAATAGCAGATGGCAGTGGTATGAAAGGACAAACGTAATCATATAAGAAACCACACTTGCATAAGCTTATCACAAGAAGAAAAATATCCATAAAAAATAAAAGACAGTAAACTAAACAGAGCTTAGACCATTACACTCAGACAATTACAAACTAGAACCTATCCAAACCCGTGTTTATTTACAAGTTTTTATTCGGAGTTCTGTGTTTCTACAACATGCCATCAATGTCGCGACACCAGAGATCTTGCTCACGTGCTCTGGCGTTGCTCCGCATTACGCAGTGACCAGCAAAATACTCAAGAACGATGGAATGCAATTTCGGGCTAGGACACTAGCCCGAAGTTGCAAGTTGACACTAGCCCGGTCTAGTGTCCTAGCCCGATTCGGGCTAGGACACTAGCACGACCTATTGGACCTTAATAAACCCTTTCATCCATCCATTCATAAGCGCAGTGTGTGCGCAAATGTTTGTTTAGCTGAAGGCAAAAAGCCTCATAATCTCTAAAGAAGCAATGCAGTCCGGTAAAATGTTCCACAGACAGATGGTGTGAGGTAATGGTGAAGAAATAAATGGTGGCGCTGCACAATATAGGCAGGCGTAACTGAGTGTTGTGGAATGCCCACGGTGTGTAGACTTGGTGATTAAAACGCGGTAGTAATAATTCGTCACAGTGAATGATCTACTAAAACAATGACAGCAATGAAACAATATGGCGGGTACTTAACGACGGTAATCTTACTTTAGTTTTGATCTTCCTGATACTAGACAGGACACTGTAGTTGGGATCAATGAAATGGCTTGCTTTGTTATGATCATCATTATGGGTTGTAGCCTCGCACAATTCTTGGCTAGTTGCCGCGCAAAAGAAGAACACTGCATGGTTCGTGATGCAGGAGCCACGCGGTAGTCAGATTAAAAGGAGTTCTTGCTCCTGGCGGCTAGGACGCAGGCAACCGCTGCCGCGCTGCTTCGGCCCAATAAAATAAAGTAGCGAGTTCTTCACGTCACTTTGCCTCTCTTCATAGGGTAAAATGTTGTGCAAGTATAATATTTTAAGTGATCTATCATAAAAAGAATTTCGAAATAGAAAAAAAAAAACATGTTGAATTGCACAACTGCACAACTTGAAAATATGGCAGAGGCTGCAAAGAAAGCAAAGGCACGAATGACTGCCTAAATTTTTGGCAGCCTTGAGCCAATATTTATGAAAACCATCAACTGCAGCAATAATGTTTAAAATAAATTCCTACACAGGTATAATTATTAAATTATTTGCTTCAAGTCGAATATGTAATTCGTAGTAAATATTCGACCTCCAAAAGCAACAAGCGAGTATCAGTTACCGAGAGGGAGAAAACAAGGAGAAAGGCAGGGAGGTTAACCAGGGCTGAGCCTCGGTAGGCTACCCTGCTCTGGAAAAGTGGAGAGGGGGAAGGAAAGTTATAAAGTAGGAGAGAAAAGGTCACTGACTGGGCCGACGCGTAACAGTTTCACCATCACAAACGATGAAATAGGCTGGTGTCTTTGAGAAAATGCAACAGTGCTTTCGTTGCCTTCCGGAAATTTGATGGGCAGTACCATAGTCCCAACACTTTCTCGACAGTGAAATCACTTCTGTCCAGTTGATTTAAAACACTGCGCAGGTGAAGCCTCTCGTTTGTGTTTGCCGGGCAGTAACATAAGTTGTGTTCAATAGTCTCATCGATGGCGCAGTCGTTGCACTCTGCGCTGTCCCCCATCCCTATCTTAAATGAGTACACATTGGTGAAGGCTACGCCCAGACGCAGACGGCACAACACTGTACCTTCCTCCATGGAAAAAACCAAAGGGTAGCCGCAGTCGTAGAGTTGGGTCGAGAGAATATAGTCGTTGATGTGCAAACTGTGATGAGTGCCACTTCTGGAGTGTCATGTCCTGCGCCAGCTTACTTAGGTATCTAGCCGAGTCAATCCTAGATAAAGATACCGACACAGGGTTTGTTTGTACGTGTGCTTTTCTGGCTCCTTCATCGGCGAGGTCTATGCCGGAGATACCGCAATGACTTGGCATCCACTGGAACACAACGTTGTGTTGTTCGGTCGCATAGTGCAGCATTTCTCTGATCTCCCATACCAGTCGTTCGTTTGACCCGCGACGAAGTGCCGACGAAAGACATTGTAGAGCCGCCTTGAAGTCACAGAATACTGCCCAACGATTAGTCGGTTGTTGCTTGATATATTCGGTGGCACCTCGCCGGGCAACAATTTCCGAACCAGTCGAAGTGCTCACGTGACAAAGTTTGTAAGTGGTGGTGATGTGTCGCGATGGAATGATGGTGGCGCTGGTGGAGCTAGTCTGGGTGGTAGATCAGTCTGTGTATACGTGGTTTCTATCAGCGTAGAAAGAGTATAAACAGTCCAGAGTCGCTTGTTTCAAGGCCAAGGCAAAAATGACTTTTCTGTTTCTTATTCCTAAGACGGAAAAGCACACGTTGGGTTGTCGTAGGCTCCACAAGGCGGACGGTGAACGCGCCAAGGGTATAAAACCAGATATGGTAGCAAGGCGCGGTGGGAGTTGCGGACCTTGGAGAACGACGCCTGCGGTCGTTGTTCTGACAGAAATGTGAAATGGCTCGATACCATCCATGAAATGTGCCGAATAGGTGCTCTCAGCACGTCCGTTTTGACGTAGGTCATAACCGGATGATCCCGAGCCAATATAACTGTTCCAGTGGTTGAGGTAGTTTGTGGAAGACCGAGACAAACACGTAGTGCCTGTGCTTGCACGCTCTGAAGTGCTGGAATGTTTGTCTTGCGAGATTTAGTAAGCAGAGAAGAACTGTAGCGCAGTACACCAATAAAAAGTGCTTGATAAAGCTGTAGCACGGATAAAGATGTAGCAACCCATCTTTTTCCAGCGATGAATTTCAGGACGGGGGCAATAGATGCCAGTTTCGCTTTCAAGCTCGTCATGTGAGGGCTCCAGGAGAAGTCGCGGTCAACGATAACATCTAGAAATATTTGCTACGCTTGTAAGAGATGGGCTGGCCATTAATGCTTATCGGGTAATTTGTCATCGCCTTGCGTGTGAAGGCCACCAGTGAACATTTTTTGTTGAGATTGTTAGACGTTGCGTGCAAAGGTAGTCAGAGGCTTGCGACGCTGCCCTCTGTATCCTTGCTCAAACTTGTAGGCGTGTCAATGCAGATGCCCAGACACAGATGTCATCAGCGTATATTGAAACACTGACTGTTTCAGGGAGAGCTTCCGCCAGGCCAAGCAAGGCATTGAAAAGAACTAGGCTTAGAACACCACCTTGCGGGACGCCACGGCACGTGTAGTGGTCAGAGGTTGGGCCACATTCAGTATATACAAAAAAAAAGGATCTTCGCGTCAAGTAGCTTCGGATCCATCGAAACGTTCGCCCTCCCGGTTTAATTAACAGCAGTGCGTCTAGTATAGCTTGATGGGAAACGTTGTCATAGGCACCTTTCACATCAAGAAAGAGTGCAAGTGGTAGTCGTTTCCTAAATTTCTGCTGTTCTACTGATGGCGACAAATCGATGACGTTGTCAATCGATTAACGGCCTCGTCGAGATCCCGCCATGGAGTCGGGGTAAATGTTGTGCCGTTCAGGGAACCATTCCAGACGCGTGAGAATCATGTGCTCCATGAGTTTTCCAACGCAGCTGGCGAGAGCTGCAGGCCGGTAAAATGTCAGCACCAGAGGGGATTTTCCTGCTTTTAGAAGTTACTGAGTTTTCTTGTACTGTGCATGGACTAATAATCTATATGAATGAAGGGAAATTCTGACTATACAAACTGAAAAGCTAATATAACGAGGTAATAAGTGAAGGCATTTTATGTTGCCTACACATGTTTATATTGCGAAACTAGTTTTTGCATTTTGTTTGAAAAGCCATTGGCTCCAGCAGCATAGTGATAAAGCACTCTCATTAAAAGTACTTTAAACCCACCGCATGTTCTTAAGACCTCGTGATTTCATACTCAGGCCTAGTATTTCAGACATGGTATGGTTGTAAGACCATGCCCTGCTCAGCGTATTGATGAGCCGTGCATCAAACTTCATGTGAAATCATGCACGAAGTCGTTCTAACTCAGTCGGACTCATCATATAGTCATCCTGCTGTTTAAATTCAGCAGTAATTTCGTTCTCCAGATGTAAACAATGACGGTATTTTCATGTGGCACAGTATCCGTAGAAGATTGCTAGCAGCTCCCAGCGATCATCTGCTGCAAGAATGACAGATAATATTGCAGAATGTCAGTAAAAGATAATTATTATGTGCAGCAGTACGATTGCCGAGCTCTCAATTGATACGTGGGGTTTAACGTCCCCAAACCACCATGTGATTATGAGAGACGCCGTAGTGGAGGGCCCCGGAAATTTCGACCACCTGGGGTTCTGTAACGTTAATAATTAAAAATTTCGTTGAAGCGCACTAAAAAACGGACGGACAGAAGAGGCTGACAAGGACAGTGCTTGCTCTCACACTTTCTCGTGCTTCTTTAACGTGGACCCAAATCTGAGCACATGGGCCTACAACATTTACGCCTCCATTGGAAATGCAGCAGCCGCAGCCGGGATTCGATCCCGCGACCTGCGGGTCAGTGGCCGAGTACCTTAGAAACTAGTCTACCACGGCGGGGCGATTGCCGAGCTCTCACCCAGTATGCACAGAAAGAGAGCTTACCGATTACATCCTCCTCCGACCATCCCTCGAATGTCACCAGCCTGGGCAGGACGAAAATGGAGGGTGACAGGTGGGCTTCACGTAGCATCGCCGACATGTATGCCAACTGCTCCTTTTTGCTTTTCATGGTGTGGCTCTTCGAAACGTGCTTCGTCAATATCTGCACGTTAAAGTGTAAAGAAATGGTTTTTAGGCGTTCTCTTATGTTGTGTATTTAGCGGAGGATCGTTTCCTACATTTTTCGGGGTTTCTAGCTAGTTTCATGGCGTAATAAGGGTACTGGAAGATAAAAATTCAAAGATTATGTCAATATTTTCCAATTAAAATTCTGAGCCCAGCTTCACGTTGGCGCAGGGCCCACTGTGTTTGCAGCGTTGATTCGCCAGAAGGTGTCGACCATACAGTTCCCTATTTATGCACTCTCGCACCAGTGTATATGAGAGCTGTAACGAATGGCGCTCCAGTGAGCACGGCAATTAGGCGTTGTTCATGGATTTGTCTAATCTTGACAACTTAGGTTTCGTTTGGCTTCGTATGGCTTGAAGCTGTTTTGTCACAAAACAACAATCAGCAATAGTTATCAGTTACACTTCACCACCTTAATCGTTTAGTTTAACCAATTGGAATAGGGTCATGGAGTTCAATATGACTAATTGTTTCATTCGAAACAAAATCAAAACACTGCAATAAACAAAGCCAAAAGTGTAATTTGAGGCCCGCAAGTACGAAGACAAGGCAAATATATCTACTACCCATATTTACCATCATCGCTGAACGATTGCTGTGCCAGAGTCCGCACTAGTTATCTTAGGAAACTGTATAATATGAACTACGCCACAAAACTATTGTTTATGAAGGCACTCTCTACGGACATGTAAGGCATTCTGTGCATTGTGTTTATGCTACATGTGCTAGACGAAAATGAAAAATTATTGCTGCACATTTTGCTTAGGGTTTAATCAGTAGTCTACACACACTCGTTGCGCGGTTAGCATTGTGTGATGATTGGTTGTTAGGGTACTGCTCTTCGCGCTGTATACATATATGTTTAACGTAACTTTTCGTGTGACATGACACCTGTGTACGGTGTTATTTGAAATTCAACTTAGTTTCAAGCACCACCTTGTCTTTTTGGTGCAGTACCCCAATCGCCACGCAGTGGGCTCTCGTTCAATTTCCATTTGGTCGCAGGTGCCTTTTTTCAAATTTATTTTTTATGACTACCGGTGATTTGTTAAATCGTTCGGTTACGCCACCGATGGCGACGCCGCTCAACGCAGGAACGGGCGACTAAGAGCTGTGCTATAATATTGTTTCATATTGCTCTCGTATTATCAGTAGTACCTAGACAAGAAGTTGAAAGTTCGTACATTGAACTGCTCTGAACACCTGTTCGCGAATGAAAATTATCCTGTGGCACTATGAGTTGGTATTACCATTGGCGTAATAAGTATGAAGTGACACGGAAAAACTACTTACACTTCTGAGGTGAAACTTGAACAATCATGCGTATTGCTTATTGAGGACGGGTTTGGTTCACGATAAAGGGGACCTTGAACCGAGGTCCTCTGATGGCGATCGGGTGTGATATCACAGGGCGATGCCGGTGCTTCAATCTCCGCCTCAAAAATACTATGCACACGGGTAATGTAAGACAGAGAATCACGGGAGAAAGGTATGCCGCGCTAGAAGGTTGAAATATCACGAAACTACACAAGAAACTGAATTGTGAAAAAGAGTTGTTTTTTTAAAGCTTCCCCCCCCCCCCCCCCCTACATTGTCATCAGCCACGTACGTGCAGCTTCCACGAAAGATGATGGATTAATGCATGCAGGGTACTTCTTTCCTTTGCCAAGTTTTAATGATTTATGGCATATTGGGTACCTTTCAACAATACTTGTAGTAGCCACGTCAAGAGAGTTTTTCGCTGCCTCTGGAAACGCCACTCCTCCAGCTTACACTGCTACCATTGCTGTGGGTTCCACGCAGGCTTGGCGTTTTATAAATGCATAAATATAATGAATGATGAAGTGCTTTTTTATAAAAATTGATCGTATTATTCATTTGGCATCTTTATTTTCTGTGTAGGTAGCATTGGCAGTGTTTCATTTTACATGCGCACTTCGACCTTAGCCAAAAGGCTTACATATTCGTATGAAATATGCAACTCTAATACTGGCCGTCGACACTCTCGGTATCAACCCTCCAACCTTATTCATGGTCAATATTTTATTTTTAAGCAGTAGTACGCTTCTTTGCACAAAGATATGTTCCCTCTTTTCAAGGTATTCAGTTACAGCGTAATTAATTATCTTGCTTCTAATGACAAAAACTGCTTACGTTACAAGTTTCTTATTATCTAACAATAGCTGCAGCCAATTCGCGCATAAAATCGACTTTCCTCTAACCCCCCAGAAAGTCATTGATGTGGAGACAATAACTTTAGAAAACGCGTCGATTGACCTCTTACCGCTTGGCTCAAAGCCAAAAACTACAGCCTAGGTAATTATTGACTGGTTGCTTCACAGCAAACAGATTCCCACAAAGCGTTGGATCTGCTGAGTTTTTCGGTACAATGATTCCTTTTTAGGTTCCTAGAAGACTTGCATGGTCATATGCTAGAGGTATACTCTGCAAATATATTATGTACAACTGCATTCATTGATGCTTGTGTATTTCGAATTCATAAAATGGGAAGCGAGGTTTTACTACTGATAAATATTAGAATTTGGTGTGTTTTGTGGTTGTCTTGTTTAGTTTTTCATGAGAACCTAACAAAACTACCCAGTTCTAAATGTAGTTGTACAAGACGTGAGATACCGCCCTCTCATGCCGATTATGCCTCTGTGATATTTTTAGTTTCAGTTTATTTGCATCCAACAATAACCTATGCAGTCAAAGTATCATGACGACAACATTTCATTGTGAACATGAAATGTTTACTTCAAGTGATTAGTATATCAAACCAAAAGTTACAAAGTGATCCGAATTCAAAACGCAATAGGGTACAAAAACTGTTCGCGGTGCCTACATACATCGGTAGTTTTGCACTGTAGCTTAATGAGCCTGCGTTTTGATTGAGATATTCAGCTTTTGGTAGGATGCTTTCAATATTGAAATAGTCTAATACACGGAGCCATGAATTGCTGACTCTTAAGAAGAAATCGTAAAACTTATTTCACTAGCAAGACAGCAGCGGTTGCGCAAAATTTGCTTAAAAATACCATGCTCCATTAAGGTAATGTGTCAGTGGCACAAGGGAGACCAAGGTTCAACTTAACAGATTACTTGAAGTTGCACCTCGAGAGGCAGTGAAAGCCACTGAAAATTTACATATTGCTCTACTCAGCAGACATATATTGTCATCATCGACACCATCAATCATCATAAGGCTGAAGAAAGAAGGCCTTTTCGAAAGATCTATATTTTGAATGCCCGGCCGATTCGATGTGTGCTAATTTCCTTCATCAGCTGAACTAAACTGGCTTCATAAATATCGCACTCCTTTAGATTGTGCTAATCAATGAAATTAGCCGGTGACTGCATGGTAGTTTTACTCTAATGCTAAGTTTCTTTTGATACGATGAATGTATAGCCACGCGTCGAAAAGTGTGCTCTGTTTATACCTCTGAGTACTTTTTCCAGCGGTCCATCTGGGCTAGGCGGTTCCAGACAGCAGCTGGTTGCTGGGAAGCGGGAATCACGAGGAGACACTGCCCTCCTGGAGACAGCAGCGACGCAATGTTCTTCAATGCCGTACTCTGGTCTTTTAGCCACTGAAGACAGTAGAAAGGAATAAACTCGGTCGAAATGTCCGTATCGTCCTGAGAAACTCTGTAACGTTTCCACCGATGTTCAACAATTCGTACTCGATCTTCTCGTGTTCTGAGTGTCGCCTCGCGTGCTCGATCATTTCGGGACTGACGTCAACGCCGACTATCTTTGCGCATGGTAGACAGCAGGGTAATAGGCCATCTCGTGTGAAGTCACCAGTTCCACATCCGACGTCTAATATCCGCAAGTGTGTCACTTGGCTCAACGAGAAATGCCGGCTGGCAAAAAGCAAGAACGAGTTCGTTGTGCTTTTTTTGAGGGCCGTTGTTCTTGGCGTACTGGATGGCTGACAAACGAGGTGAATTTGTGGCAGCACGCTGCATAGGTGGTAATCGGTCATTTCTCTTGGTTTCTGAACATGATGGTGCCATCGAATGCCCAGAGTTTACCGTGTTTTCTGCAAAGAAGGAGTAAAATAGAAAAAAATGGTGACGTCATTTGGGGAACATAATAATAATACATCACACGAATGTTCACCTAATAAGAGCACAGATAGTCAACCCAGAAAATTGGTATTGTTGCGCCAGAGAAGTGCGGCAGCGTGATAGCTGTACTCAGTAAATTGATTAAACATATAGGGTTACTAAATAATTGCAGTTTTAGCTTTCACGTGTGTACCGTTGCGAAACTTTGTTTAAATTTTGTCACTGCATTTCTGGCCTAAGAGTGGAACTCATTCTCAGCACACGTGACACATTGTCGACGTTTTATGCTAATTTTAAAGTAATATATAAAAAAAAGCTGTGAAAAGCAGTAAAATTTAGGTTTCTGGGCACGAGTACTCTGCGAGGTTTAAAATATTCGCTTGCAAAATCTTCATTCCTGCCAAATTAGTAGATGAAGTCTTGCTCATTTTGTAAGTTTCAGAAAAAGTTGAACATATAGTGCGATTCACGAACTGTAACCAGAACTCTATAAAACGTGTCAAGGAACTCGTGATTAATTTTGAAAATGCGACAAGTTTCGAGGTATTTGTTGCAAAGTTACCCGATGAATGTCTTTATTAAATGTAAGAATAACAAAGGCGAAGCAATGAACGCAATAGCAGCAAATTGGAAGATCGCGTGCCGAAGGGCAACCAGATCGAAAGGTGCCCCACGTTTTTCAAGCACAAATGGCGCACGAAACGTACTCACAGGTACAGACGAACGCGAATAAGCGTCTGAGTTGTTACTTCTCTGTGGTTGAAAAGCAAGCCCTTTTCGCTAGCAGAGGCTGTGCAATGATTGCCGTGACTTTTGTGCACCCGATAACTACGACAGCATCGTTCCGACAAAACCCAAAGGCTAGCCAAGACGTTAGATTCTCCCGACGGCAAGATAAGGGTGCGCGATCAAGTGTACACCCCCTTATTCTCCCCGCGGACCAATGTACGCGTGAGAGATGAGAGCCGCCGCACGCTCACTGCGCGATTTTGCTGACAATGCTGAAAAGACGATAAATACCTCCCCCCCCCCCCCCCGAGATGCCCGCCAACAGTGGTAAGTGGTAGATATGAAAAGCTTGCCGTTTGAACGCTTTAGAAGGTACCTCTCAGTGGCTCAGTGGTTAACGCCTCGCATTCACAACGCGGAAATCCTACGTTCGATTCCGCGCGACGAAGTCAATGTTGTAGGATTTTTTTCTTTCTTGCATTATCGTATATATAGATACGTATACATACACGGTGCATGACATCGACGCCGATGCCGGCAGCGAAATCCGGCTGAGAGTGTCCATACAACTGCTGCCGCAATAAAAGTACAGAATGTAAATAATTGATCAATGCATTTATTGCGGTTCTTAATAACACGTCAGCACTAGTGTAAGTTTTTATATGGTGCCATTTACGCGTTTTTAAATAATAATATTGACAACTGTTGGGGTTTAACGCCCTAACCCCACCATTATTAGCGAAACCATATTTGAGGTTGATGAAAATTTTGAACACTTGAAGTTCCTTAACCGGCACCTAAATCTACGTAAATGGGCCTTAAGCATTTTCGTCCAAAAAGAAAATGCTGCGGCCGCGGCTGTGATTCGATCTTGCGACCTGCATGCTTGATTAATCTCTCTCAAGAAAATGATTTTGCTATACGCCAGACGTGCTTGCAGAGAAAACACTTTAACGTTGGAATATAGTATCGTTACGTTGAAAGATTATTATCTGAAGATGGGCTTATGAAAAGGGGCTGAATGGCTGCCGCACGGCACTAATTCACTTGCAAGACTTGCAAGAAAAGCGCTCTTCAATCTCCTCTTCATTCTCGCTGTCACGATACCTCCCTCCACAGATGAAGCCAGCCGGGCGAGTAACGGCTACGTGAGTGGGGAGTCGCGCGGGTGACAGCGCTTTAGGCGCGCGACGTGAACAAGTTGTGTCTGCCGAGAACGGTAGACATGATTTAGGAGACGAGCTATTGATTACGTCAGGTTACTGAGGCAATCGACGGTGACAAAGGGGCTGGTATAACGGGCCAGAAACTTTTCACACAGGTCATGCTTGCGAAACAGCGTCCAGCCCAAACTATACCACCTTTGTCGTAAGACACGTCTTTGTGCCGTCAACAGTAGGTGATCTATGAATGGTCCTGGGATGCAAACGTACGAAGTCGAGCTACACGCCGTGCTTCCTCTGCACAGCAACACAGTCTGGGCAATAGAAAGATCCGCATGAGTATAACATGGCAGGATGGTGTCAAGGAAGAATCGGGGCAGTCGAATGTAAACGAGGTAGAAAGGGCTGTATCCAGTGGCTTCATGCCTCGCCAAGTTGTAGGCGTACGTAATAAAGGGGAGGATGTCATTATAATTCTCGCGCCTTGAATTGACATACGTAGAAATCATTTTGGTGAGCGTTCTGTTCGTGTGCTTGACGAGAACATTTATCTGAGGATGATAAGCAGCCGTGTGGCGAAGCTGACAATCACAAAGACACAAGAACTCTTCGACCACGTCGGCAACGATCTGGCGTCCACGATCACTCAAAAATAATGTGAGATCGTCCATTGTAAAGCATGACTGTCGACAGGAGGAAGCCCGAAACATCAATTGCCGTTGCTGTTGGCATTGCGGCGGTCTCCGCATAACGCGTCGGGTGGTCAACACAAACGATGACCCAATGTTTGCTGTTTGATGAGCGTGGGAAAGGGCCGAAAAGATCAATTTGTACCATTTCGAGAGGTGTTAAGAGTGGTGTCAACGAGTGGGGGAGTCTGATCAAGGCAGTGTTGGGGTGATTGAGTTGTTGGCATATGTCATGAGTGGCCACATACTTTCCTATAGTCTTTTTCATTGTAGGCGAGTGCAATCTACCTTCGAATGCGGTGATACGTTTTGACGAAATCCATGTGTCCGGTAGTCCTGTCATCGTGCATAGCATGAAGCGCGTCTCGTCGCAACATTTTTGGGACCACTAATACTAAGCGTAGAGCAGGACATCTTGCATAACAAAGCCATTGTTTGACGGCTGAGCAGCTGAGTCGAAAAGGGCATCTAGGGTGCGGTCATCGCGCTGTTCTTTCCTGAAGGTGGCTGGCGAGGTCGGGAAAGCTTGTATTGTTAATGGAGTATGGAATTAATCGAAATTCACGGCATCACAAGTTTTTCTGGGTAGCGGGAGCCGCGTAAGAGAGTCGACGTCGGCATGCTGGCGGCCATTCTTGTAACGGACCGCAAAGTCAAACACTTGCAAGCGTAGCGCCCACCGATCTAGGCGACCAGATGGGTCCCGGAGACCAACTAACCAACATAGTGAATGATGGTCGGTGACAATCGTGAAGTGATGGCCGTGGAGACACGGGTGGAACTTCTGAAGAGCAAAAACTACAGCGAGACACTCTTGCTCCGTTACGGTGTAATTCTGTTCGGCCTTGCTCAACGAACGGCTGGCGTACACAATGACATGCTCGGCGTAACCACAATGCTTGGCGAGGACGGCACTTAGGCCCATTCCACTTGCATCGGAGTGCACTTCCGTTGTGGCAGAAAGGTCAAATTTATGGAGTAGAGGTGCGGAAAATAGCATGAGCTTTAGCTGCTGAAACGAAGATTAGGAATCCAACGTCCTGGTGAAAGGCGTGTCTTTGCGTAGCAACGAGGTCAGAGGATACGCAGTGTCGGCAAAATTGAGTACAAAGCGTCGGAAGTACGAGCAAAGACCTCAGAATCTTGTTAACTCACGTTGCTACTGCGGTTGCTTAAGTTTGCTCACTGTGGCAACATTCTGTGGGACCCACCGTACGCCGTGCTTGTTCACTAGATGCCCTAGTACTAGCGCATATCGTTGGCAAAACTGACAATTATTTGAGTTCAGGGTAAGGGCAGCGTGTTCGAAGCACGTTAAAACAACGTCAAGTCACTGATTGTGTTCTGCAAATGTGCGACCGAGAATCACGATGTCATTAAGATAGATAAATAAATCTTCCATATAGGCTGGGCAGAAACGTGTCCATGAACCTTTTCGAACGTTGCGTCCACGTTGCACAAACCAAACAATGTAACGTTCAATTCAAATAAGTCGTCTGGCGTCACAAAAGCTTATTTCTCTTTGTCAGTGGAATTCATCGGTGTCTGCCAGTAGCCCAATCTGAGGTCTAGAAATGAAATGTAGAACGCTGAGTGGAGACAGTCAACGACGTCGTCGATACGGGGAAGCGGATACACATCCGTTTTCCTCACGGTATTCAGGCACTGGTAATCGACGAAAAAACTCCAGGATCCGTCCTTCTTTTTCAGAAGTATGATTAGCGCAGCCCAAGGGCTAGAAGAATCTTGAATGACGCCCTTGGCCAGCATGCCATCACCTGGTCAGCGATAAACTTACACGCCGACGCGGACACGTGGTAAGGCTTCTGCCTAATTGGATGCGCTAACTTGGTGTCAATCATGTGAGTAGCTCGTGCGTTGTGGTTGCGCACTTCCTTATCTTCCTGGCTGAAATGAAACAGTGATGCGTGTATCTTTAGAACACTAATGAGCACTTGACGCTTCTCGAAGGTTAGTGACTTGTTAACCATATTCAGGGAAAACTGATGAGTCTTGAGCAACACCAGGGCTAATATCAGTAGCTTGGGACTCGCGCGATGTGTCATATTAAGCTGCTAATTGATGCTGATATCTACTTCAAACGATGCAAGCCTCAGAATCCTGGGTAGTCACACAGACTCGCCAGATGCATTTGACACCCACAGTGTGGTTGTTCCGCGGGCCAAAGGGATGACTCATCGAGGTATGAACGCACTTTTCTTCGTTATGATTGAAGACACGTGCTCGGCCATAGCATCACTGTCAACACTATCAGCAGCTACTCGAACTGTGGATACGGAATGTGCCGGGAGGACGTCATCTTCAAGGACGTCGAGGGTGCGCTAACAGGTAGAAGGTAGGTCGGCAAGAGGGGGCAGGAAATGCTCGCCG